ACTCAGCTTCAGTATCCAACAGATGGGTAGGGTTCAGAGGCCCCTCTGTTCTATGCAATAAGCGATATTTCAGTGTAATTATAGGATCCATAGAATACACGCTAATAAGTTATGTTTCAGCGTTATCGACAGCGCTAGAGAGCAAAGCTGTTCTAAGGTCACTCAACGGCAAGAGCGACCGAGGGATTGACCATGCGCATCACGGCAGCATGAGATGGGGCACTAGAGCGGAATGTTCTCATCTTCTACCCAAGTGCCTCTGGATCCTTCCCGCTTCAAGACAACCCAGTGCACACCAACAGTGTTCTGTCGGAAGCCACCTTCACAGTAAGCAAAGTAGTATTCCCATTTGCGTCGGAAGACGTTGAGTTCGTGCTCGGTCATGGCGGGATACTTTTGTCGAAGGCCAGGTGCGATATCCGAGTCAAAGTTGAGCAGGAATTGCTCTCGCCATAGGCGCAGTGTCCGAACGTAGTGTGGGCCAATGTTGGCGGTCGAGTCAGGCACAAGCTGTCCTTTGGATGCTTTGTTGGCAGAGGTGAGAATGTGAGTCAAGGATGGAAGATGTCCGCCTGGAATCTGAGCATGAGAAAACGGTCACCGTGACAATATCTGAGCCAATGGCACTCACCGGGGAAGATGTACTTGCGAATAAAGTCTAGAGATCGACTATAGGCCTCGTACCGACTTTCTGGCATGGTGATGCATTGAAGGACCGCAGCAGCGTCCGTTACATTCCCATCGCCATGATGGCGCTTTAGAAAACCATCGATGGATGCAAAGTAGGTGTCCATGAATTCCTTGCCAACAGCTTCAATCATTTCGATCGATACAACCTTGTCGAACTGATGTTCTTGAGGGAGTGATCGATAATCACACAGGAGAATGTCAATTTTATCTTGCAGGCCGGCAGCAGCGATTCGTTGATCAGCGAGAGCCTTCTGTTCCGCTGACAGAGTCAAACTAGTGACTCGACATCCCGTAGTCCGAACCGCTTCAATGGCAAATCCACCCCATCCCGATCCAATTTCCAAAACATGATCGCCTTTGCGTATTCGTGCGAGTTCGATAACTTTGTGGATCTTTCGCAGCTGAGCATCGTACAGACTTTCGCTTGAATCCCATCTCTTTTCGCCCTTGTGATATGGGACATGTGACCAGCAGGCACAACTGTACATCATGGTCTCGTCCAAAAATGCAGCAAACATGTCGTTCGAAATGTCGTAATGGGCTTGAATATTGTTCATGGCATTCGACAGGGTGTTGGTCACCCAGGGGGAGTTGGCCAGATTAGCAATCGCATTGAACACGGAAGAGTAGGGCGTGTTGACTTCTTGCAACGCTGTACGATTTTGGATAAACAGCTAAAATCAACGTTGGCATACGGAAAGAATGACAAGCCATTGAAAAGAGCCTTCCCGCGACGCCCAAACTTACCCGGATAAGCCCCACGAGATTATCAACATAGACTTCTTCATTCATGTATGCCTCTGAGAAGCCCTATCCAATCCCTTGAGTGAGTGCCATGGACCAAATCTCCGCAAATGTGACCGCTGTACAGGCCCCTCAAATTTGGTTTCGAGAGCACGCGCTACTTACCATATCACTAAGCACCAGTAACCGCACCCAAAACTTGTCATCAATGACCTTGAGTGTCACCTGAATGACCTCGTCACCTTGCGCATTCACCCCGGCCCCGTCCGACTCCCGATGCGAGACGATCTTTTCACCAAACTCAAACACCTCTTCTTGCGAGAGCACGCGAAGGTGACCGTGTTTAACATTGGAGAGAAGAGTCAAGAAGGTGTAGCGAGCTGTAAAGGATATATAAGAGAGTAAACCATGAGTGATTGAGTCGATAAGGTTGAGGCCGATGGCCCCGAAGCCATAGATGACTCGAACATCTCTGACCGTCTTCTGGTGCTCTCTGTCTCCCACGCCTATCGCATCTGTACGCCAACTACACTTACCGATATTGACCACCGATGGCCAAGACTTGCCAACGAAGGTTTCCTTGACAAATTGGAAGGACGAGTCCGCGTAGGCAATAAACCTATTTGGATACTGCTTCGGCTTCTGCAAAGACATAGTTGCACTTGATCAAATCACCAAAGAAATGCGGAGAAGGCAAAACGCCAAGAGAAATATATAAAGTAGCGGGTGAGAGAGAAAAGAGGAGTGAGAGAAAGCGAGAGAAGAAAAGCGCTGCGAGTATCGGCGAGGATCGTCGTGCTGATCCCCCAATATTCCGTTTATGGTAATGGGCAACAGGGAAACGTCTGTGCCATTATTCACGGTTCTGTGCTTCCATGGGTGGATATGGTATTGCAGGATCTGGTCTTGGTATGCTCCATAATCAGTGGGTAGGCTGTTAATTGTACGTAGCCCGGCCCAAAGGTCATCCTTGTCGCCGTGCGATATGGGCCGATGATCGGGCCCTTGACCGGGTAAATTTTGCGCGTGCGTCTATTGGCGCGAAATCGAAGAAAATCGACGTGCACTGACCATGTGAGTGAGAATATGACCCGGCAAGGTAGCCTACAAGATTCATGAGTGGTTGCAGGTTTTCATCAAAAGGGTACATAATAGCACTAAACGGATAAGCAAGTTGAGTGCTCGCCATGATGGCCTGGGAAGGAGGTGAGTAACATCAAATCCTGCATGTTACGGAGCGACCGCTGTCTGCCATATATGCCATGAAAAGGTCCATTGTACTCTTAGCGATTGACTTGGTGGCGAGGAACGGACATGCGATAATAGCGGGGATAGGGATCTCTGTGAGGCGGAATCTGTTCGTCGTGCAAGTCGACAACCAAGATGTAATCAATTCAGTTTCGTAGAACGGGTATTATGCACCATACAAAATGGTAAATTGCTTTTATTACGTATATGAAGAAGTCAATGCCAAAGTTAGTTATACATACAGTGCTTAGCAAAGATATGGTGAATGGAAAGGATTGACACATAATGTATTCAGAATGTCGTTATATTCGCTTGTACTTGCCGACCACTTGATGACAATGGCCGCACTCGTGAATTACGTCCTTGAGTGAGGTGATACAAAAGGGCACCAAGCAAACACCGAGAGCCGTGATGCCAAGCAAAAGCATGCCAATACACGATAGCCAGTTGGCTGCGCCATTCTTGTGACGGATCCTGGTGAGCGATAGGGTGTTGCAGTGCGGACAAAGGATGACAGCTGGCTCGGTACGAAGCTCTTCAATGGGAATGGCAGGAGGCAAATAGACCACTGGCGGAGACATCAAGGGAGTAGGAGCGTGGGTAGGGCTGTCGGGAAGCGGCTTCTTGTGATCTCCAGAAGTCAATGGTACCGCTTCGGAACCCGCTTGGTTCATGGGCGATGTGCTTGCAATGTACGCTGGTGGTTCTTGTTCGGGCACTATGTCAGGGTAAAGGTTGCCGCCCTGCAGGTCGGTAACGTGCGCATGTTCAGAAGGGGTGTTTTGTGTGTTCACCATGGTCTTGACGTGGCAAGCAATGAGCTTGAGTGGTTTGGGAGGGTGAGAATAGTACCAAACAGAACAAAGAGAGTAGTTGTGGCAACGTCTAAGCTTGGCCCATATATATTCAGTACCAAGAAACTGAGCCACGTGTAAGCTTGGCGTACGAATTTGAGTCCACCTAAATTCGGTTGGCTTGGCACAACATTAACGGGTCGCAGGAGGCGGGACCGTACTCATGATGCTACGGTAGCAGGATGCCTTGCGAGACGATATATTGCACATGTAAGAATATCCCGGCCGAAGATTGTTGTACTTTTCACGTGACATGCCCAAACAAGGTCTCTGTTAGATTGTTCTCGCTGCCATACCGATGTGTCAAAAATCAATCTCTGTGTAGAAGGGCCTGCTTTGATCGGAATGATGTTCGTATTCCAAACCGGTATCAATTCGTGGTGCCATGGATGGCCTATTGCGATACAAATTGAGATAGATAGTCTGAGTGCTTAGCTTGACAGATGTCCTTGACATTTTTTCAATATCATTTTGACTTTTGAAGGACTTCAATGATTCCCCCAGTGGAGCTAAATGACGAAGAGGTTTTATTCATCTGCGGGAGACTCTTTATCTCACGCTTTCTCACTTACAATCAAAAGAGCTACATAGTCGGTTATACCGCGCGGTGTTTCAAACTCAGATTATACGCAACCAGAACCACAGTTCCAGACACAGTTTATCGCACAGACTCGCAAGCTTGTGCGGAAGGATGAGTCATGTATTTCAAAACAATCAAGCCTGTTCTACCCAGACCGCAAACCCTACAATCCTTACAGACAATGCGGCTCCTGGATTGGAGGAATTGGTTAGGAAGGTCAATCTTGCCCCGATTTAATTTACGGCCACAGGCAAGGATATCAGTGACGCCAGGGAGCAAGCCTCATATGGGGAACTGCAAAGAAGAGAATGCAAGTCTGACCTTGGAGACTATACTTACCCAATGCAACTCTGTCATAGAGGATATGGACTCGCACTTGCAGGATCTTTGACCATTTCACTGCAAGAGGCGAGAGCATTTCTGTCGTCATATTTAATGTGACTCTGGGTCCGAAGAGCTGGTTAGGAGGACAACTTAATGCGCGTTGTTGTATCCTCCGGTGTAAGTGGAAACCACCTGAATTCGGAGCCATTTTTACCGGCCACACACTTGATGCCTTCTACCAGAGAGAAGGCACCTGTTGACTTGGCTTTGCCGTCTGTTAAGGCGATCGGCAAGACGGAATTTGACGGTGTTGCTATTGGCGTCGTGATTTGATTGAAGCCATAAGAGCATGCTCTTAAAAGTTTTTTGCAAGTCCTACTTTGGAGCGAGATTTTGCAGACGTGTGCTCATATGAATTGATCCCGGACCGATTGCAAAACTAGACAGTGGTGCCAACACTCTGCGGCTTTATTATATCGAGATCTAAATGCAATAAACTGAGCAAAATTTCAACCATGGTAAAAATTGTCGTCGTCGACGACAAAAACTTGAAACAAAAATGATCTTGGCAGGGCTCGAACCTGCAATCTCCTGATTCGTAGTCAGATGCCTTTCCAATTTGGCCACAAGACCATTTGATAAATAGGAATTTTTTCTTTATCCTATATTTCATTAATCTCTGGGTTAGCAACTTTTTATTTTTGGCTATGGTAAATGAAGTACAGTCTTTTGCAAGCCAATTTGCGCTGAGTTTGATTTGAATTTGCGTTGGGACTGGGTGCCAAGACTGTTCTGACAGAGGCTCAGACATCATTGCTCTACCATTATGTCAAAATACAACAAATTTGCTAAAGCCACAAGAAAGAAATGCATGGTGTGGACTGTAAGGGACTCATATTCACAAATAGTACTGAAACCCTTGGCGCTGTCGAGTCGCACGAGCAGCTGCAATCAGTTCATACGCAGCACAGCACAGACACAGCTTCCCAAACTCACGTTCCCCGCAGTACATTCACGGATACCGGTCCACTAGAGTCTAGCGATGAAGGAACTACAGCAAACCTTGGTTCTCTCGCAGATAATGCATCACTGGTCAAAGATACCAACGTGAACAGAAAACCAAAGCCCAGAGGATCTTACCGACGATACAACTTTGATCAGATTGAAAAGCTTTTTGACCTCGTGATTGAGGAAGGTAAAACAGCGAAAGACGCAGCACTTATCACGGGTATTAACATAAGAACCGCTCAGCACTATATCAAGAGGTATAATGACGACGAAGAAAGACGTTTGCCTGTTTGCAACAGACAGCCTAGAATTGGAGCCAAAGGTAAGCTGATGGAAGCTCATACTCAATTTCTGATAGACTACATCGATAAGCACCCAACTTCTATACTGGAAGACATCAGACAGAAACTGTGCGAGGCATTCACATGACTGTGTATATCAGTGTCAGCTTTACATAGACACTTGGTCCAAAAGTGCAGAGTAGCACTGAAGAAGCTCGAAAAGCTACCTGCAGCCAGGAACGCAGATCGGGTCATAAATTTGCGAAAGGAGAAGGTTGAACAATGGGAAGCGATGCAAGATTTAGATTTTGCCCATAATTGTGTTGTCATCGACGAATCAGGATTTAACTTGCATCTTCAAAGAAACTTTGGCCTCTCATTGAAAGGTACTCCAGCGAGAGGTACTGTGCCAACCGGAAGGGGTGTCACGGTTAGCATATTAGGCGCCATATCTGAAGCAGGAGTCATTGATATATCGTTGAAGAAGCCGCAAGCTGCTACCGTGGTTAAGAAAAGAAAGGGGAATGGGAAGGTAGTCAGCGTACTAAATGGCCGAATTGGAACGCGAACAGAACACTATCTAGCGTACTTGTCCAACGTTATGAATGTACTAGATAGAAACAACATGAAAGGTCATTATCTTGTGATGGACAATGCTCCAATCCACACCCCAGCTAAAGTTCGCGATTTGGTTGAAAGTAGGGGTTACAAGTGTCTTTATCTGCCGCCCTATTCTCCATTTCTGAACCCTATTGAGGAATTTTGGGCAAAGGTAAAGGCTGGCATAAGGAGAAACGCACTGAGAGCTGAGGATCGATTGAGTGATCGTATCTGCGAATCGGTCAATAAAGTGACAAGGGCAGATTGTCAGGCTTGGATTAGGCATGCAATGTCCTTTTTTCCTCGATGTAAAAGCGGAGAAAGGAATCTCTGAGAGAACAGCAAGCCCTCCAGGAACCTAAATGAAAGACTTGGTGGATGGATGGATCTTATCCGCTTGCACTTCGGCTTCACGATCATGATGGCGAGAAACAAATTACTTTCATCTTCTTCAGCTGTTGACGGTGAATTCTTGTGCATAGTAAAGTACTTTTTGATATCTACGGTCATACATTCTTGCATGAGCTGTTCTCAAAAACTCTCAGCCAGATCAAACATCCTTAAGTAGGCAAACCAAATCGCACGCCATGCATTGTCTCCTTCCCATGTAAAAATAGAAACTCTGTGTTTTTCACATTTAGCTTGTTCCCCATCTGCATTGTATCAAACGTATGTAGAACTTTATACATAAACTGTGACAGCCTCAGCTTCATGGCATAACGGAGTTAACCTCCCACCTGACGCCTAGTTGAGTTTTGCCGTCGACTCTGCTCATATTCATATGTCCCTCTGATAATGTCTGATGAGTGATGCATAATTGATCAATGAGCTAGTCAGATATGCAGGAGTACCTTTTTCCATGATGAAAAAGGATTAGCTCTTTCAATTTCTTTTGTTCATGTGTCAGGGTACAATGCAGTAGTGTACAAATGGACCATATTGATATTAAACTCCGTTGATCAACCCTTAAGCATGAGTGTGACGCCAAACAAATCCATTGTAGTGTACACAACGTAAAGCCCAAGACTATGGATGGATCAGTGAAGACTGGACATTGACCTATAATGACTATTACTATTTGGCTAAGTATTGTATTTTCTGCTGCCATGGACGTAGTGCAGGAATTACATCTATCTACGGGTATCAACTTTCATATGCTTCTTTCGAAAGACGCCCATCAAAGTTAAAGAGAGGTCTATTTGTCCGTGTGATATAGATATTCTTTTCCCATAAAACAAAATATCGACCCTGGCAGTGTCAAGGTCTCTCTTACTGTCGAAAACGTGTAGAACATCACCGATGCCCGCCACATGAATACAGTATGACAGCTCAAAACATCCTGTGACTTAATTCTCTAATGAATGATGAGTCTTGAAGTTTTTGCTATTTCCTTATTTATTTTTGGAGGACTGATGAACTCCGTTGATTTAACTCAATTCTGCCTCCCACAAGAAGTTGCCCATCTGTTGGCTCAGCGAAAATGACTCCCAATCTTCTTCGAGTTCGCATAAATTAAGCTGCCAGGTTCATCGTCAAGTGATTCTGCTAGTGATGGGCGGGTAAGCGCCGTCGAACTCGGTATCACTACGGCAAATCGGTCCTATAAGAGTCTCCATTAGACAGGTATCAACATTTGTTAGCTTATGATACCTATTCTACAGTATCAGATTGAGATAGTGATTCTGATATTTGTGATGATTCTACTCACGATGACTTTTAAAACAACACATTTGGTCATCAGAATCGTTGGCCTATTTCATTGTATCAGATGAAGATAGCGATTCTGATATCGCTGATGATTCTAATTACATTTTTCGTCGGGAATAATTGTTATTGTTACTCTCAGTTTTGTTGTGACACCTCCCACTAGTACTTGCTCCTTCACCATTCTTCCTCTATGAATGAGAAGCAATTAGTAGCACTTTCCAACCTGTTGATGAATACATAGCACGATCCGAATTAAGATACGGGCAATCATAATTTTTATCGCAATTACGATATTTCTATAATATTTCTATCAGACATCAGCATCCCTATCTCAATTATCATATTTAAACTCAAAGGCATCATGCATGGGGGTAACTAGTCTGATCAAACTTAGATATCAACCAGGAGCTGCCATACACCCAATAGTTCAGTTGTACCATTGAAAACCGAAAGCGTCAAGATAGTTGAGAGACCCATCATAGATTTATGAAGGTGAGAAGGTGAGATTTCCGAATGTTGGCTTTGGCAATAGAGCAAGCAATAGCAACAGAGATTGATATATGCAACTTCATGTGCAGTTTAAGATTGGCAATGGAAAGGATTCAAATCGAAACCTCTTGGGAAAATGATCCCAAAGGTGATATCAAGGGTGATATCGAAGACGATGGCAAAGGTGATCTAATCTGGGAGTGTATAAAATGCTCTCTGATCTTTGAAGCAAGAAATTTTTCATCGCACCTCTTTTCTTTTTTCTCTTCAGTACATGGCCAAAGTGAGTCTTTAGTCCAAACACATACGCCGTGAACGTCTTACCACCATATGCTGATTATGAGCCATTTTGCAGATGCCTTCTACGCTTATCAAGTCTCTGAGTCATTCGAGCTAGTATGCATACATGCGTCTTTTTCACCTGGGCATTTGCATTCATGTCCGTTGTTGGTGCTCTCCTTGGACCTTTATGTCTCTTGCGTCTCTTGCGTTTTTTTTTCTTTTGACTGGTAAGCATAGCATGTATTCACCGGATTTCACTGCTAAGCACTGTCTTAACCGTCATTACCTAGCCACTCTACTCCTCTCCCAACTCTATTCTGCCGTGCCCATCCGACCACGATGCGGCGACTTTGGCGTCCCGGCTTGATGCCGGGGATATGACTTGTCCGCTTGCTTCGGCTTGCTGGAAGGAAGGTAAGCAGATGCTTGTTTCGCCTGTTTGACATATGCCATCGGAACTGAATAATTGATCATTACTCTCTCTCTTTTTATGTTGACCTTTTCATTTATTCTTCTTGGTAAGCAAATGTTATATTGTTGTTTATGCAAAGGGGATGGATAATATACTGACGCAAATTATTTTAGCGTAAAAATAATTGCCCTCCTGATTGCAATATTTTTTTGGACGCAAAATCATAAATTTTCTATTTGTCAATAAACAACACGGATAGCAGTCTGGTCGAGTCACCATCAGCCATACTTACCGATCTTTGTTGTCCAAAAACCATACAGCAACTTGGAAGCATCAGAGCATGAAAGCAGCAAGTGACCTATTTCTTCTGAACATCCGTTCTACCCCGCCGTACAAGCATCAGACCTTACTTTTCCTCATTACGTCAACACAAAGTCAACTAGGTTGGAGAGAAAAAAAATAGTCATCATTTGGACAGGGTTGGAAGGTTACTGTCAAAAGAGAACAGAGAGAGATGCGGTTAGTAAGATGGTGTGCAGTGAGTAAACAGCTTTGCAGACGATAAAAAAATGTTTGGTGAAAGATCCGAGAATAGCCAAGTTAGGAGCATCTTGTAGCACTCAAGAGACCGGGCATCAAATTGGCACTAAACGAACAAGATCATGCGAGCCATGTACTTTCCTTCTCGGTCTACTTGCCACTACCCTGACTGTCATGAATGGCCAAACCCATCCATTCTCCTCTCACGAAATAGTGTGTTTACAGGACGAATCCTGATAGTCAAACGTCAACATCAAGTGATCAAGAAGCAGGTAGTGATTTCAACCGACACATGCATCCTTTCGTTTGCAATT